GACTGGTTCATAGTCCTGCCCTGTAACAAGGGGGCAGGTAAGGCAGAAGCCAGTGGCGCTCTGCCCTGATGCCAACTCTTCTGCTGGAAGGGGCTCAGTGGGTGTTGCAGTCTCATCCACTAACCCCAGTACCCGGTTGAGAATTGGTTGTGGAGAGGAGGGATCGCCTATCTCCTCCTCTTGGTATTCCTGCGGGGTTGGTTGGAGAACCGGACCGGCCGTCCAATATCCCTGTAAGTCTGGTGCAGAGAATGCGGTCCTAACTGCACCCCTGTTATGGGGAAGAGGGATCAGCTGTCTTCTCTTCCGGTATATCCGGCTGCTGCTGGGGAGGGAAACTGGCTGTCTCCACTCCGTGTAATGCATACTGCCACTGGAGAGAGGGATCGGCCGTCACCTCTCCCTGTAACACACACTGCCGCTGAGGAGTGAGACCAACCGTTTCCACTCCCTGTAACTCACCCTGCCGCTGGGGACGCAGGACGATATTCTCCTCTCTCTGTGACACACTCTGCCAGTGGGGAGGAAGGACGACACCTTCCGCTCCCTCTACTGCACACTGATGCTGGGGAGTGAGACCGGTCTTCTCCACTCCCTGTAGGATACACTGCTGCTGGAGAGAAAGACCGACCATTTCTTCTCCCAATTAAATACTCGGCCACTGGGGAGTAGGACCGACTGTCCCTACTCCTGGTAACTCCTGCTGTAGCTGGGGATCTGGGCCGGTTTCCCAGCATCCCTGTAGGGCTGGTGGAGAGACCTCAGTCCCATCTCCACCTGCCGTCTGGAGGTCTTCCCAGGACCAGTCTATGAGGTCCCCAGTCTATAGTAGTCCTGCTAAAGCTCCCACTCCCTTATTACCAGAGAGGTCAGGTCTCATCTCACCTCGTTGGCGTCAGCCCAAACATGCATGCCCTCCCTGTAGTCGTAGATGTCACAAAATCTAGACTCCTCTGTGCTGCCGAAATCAATGTCCTCCTCCAAGGCATCCCATAGTAGACCAGGGCCATCATAATCATCACTTTCGGGACAGTCGTGCTCAGCTGTCCAGGGGGTATGCCGAACCGTATACCACCACAGGGCCTGTTAGGCGTTGTCTAGCCAAAGCTCCTTCCATACCAGACTCTCGAGTTCTGTCACCCACTCTCCCAGGGTCTGCTCTCCCAGACGAGGCATTCGCATTGCCACACACTTCTGCAACCGCTGCTCCTCACTGGGGAGACTCTCACCCGCCGACGCTGTATTCCCTCCAGGGCCTCATACCAGTCGTCATTCTGGACTGCATCCCTGCAGTCTGGGTCATTCTCCTCCTCGTATAGGAACGCTGTCTGGGAACTAGCTGGTTCCATACTGCTGTAGCCAGGGTCGTTGTACGAGTACTAGTGTTGCCCTCAATATAATCCACACGTTACTGGTGTGGCCAGGATGCTTCTCCTCGCACTAGGTAGCCATCCCACAGCTGCCAGCAATGTGACGGACCACCTAGCACCCTGTCAATCGCTGCTTCCTACCACTTGCGAGCACCATAAAAACTGCACTGGAACACCATAACCACCATAAACCACTGAAGCTTAGTTGGGGTCTCGCTCTCCTCCACCCACCCAGTTTCCAGTGAGTAGACCTCTCCTAGTCCAGAGAGCGTAGCAGTAAGCTCTTTAAGAGTATAACACCCCTGTTGGGTGCCAGGCGGTCCGTCACAGACTGTATCACTCTGGGGATTGCTATATCACTATACTCCCCTGGGCTTATAATCACTTGCTCTTTAAAAAGCATATTGCTACACTCTCTTGGAGGAGAAGTCTACAGACTGGAAGCTGGATCCTGGTCTTGGGTCCAGGGTGGGTGGAGGACAGCGAGACCCCAACCAAGCAGTAACGTTGGAAGTGGGGACTACAGTGCTGATGGTGTCTGGTGCAGTGCTTGTCGTACTCGGTAAGTACTAGGAAGCAGCGATTGGCGGAGGCACCCGGTTGGGCTGCCAGGCTGTCCACCACAAGCAGCAACTCAATAACAAAGCGAAAGGCTATGTAAAATCATAGAGCTGGGTTACTAAGTGCTGAGAAGCTTGGTGCATAAAAGTCACCAACATTCTGCTGATTCCGTAGCTGAAGAGTGCCATATTCCACTGGCATTGATTTCAGCACAGAAACTGTTTGGTAGGAGCTTCATGGAATGGGTTTCCGTGGCCGAGCAGCTTCAGGCAAGCCTCACATCAGCAGGTACAATGCCTAGCATTGGTTTGAGTGTTGTAAAGTATTTCATCACTGGACTCTGTAGCAGTGGAAACATGTTCTGTATAGTGTCAAATTAAACTTCTCTGTTTGGCGAGTCTGGGTTTGCAGGATGCCAGAAGAACATTACCTGCAATGTGTTAGCTGTAAAGTTGGTGGAGGATAATGGTATCCCTTGGTGGAGGAGTGATAATGGCTAGTACCCTTAATTCCAGGAAAAGGAAATCTTAATGCTTCAGCAAACCAAGACATTTTGGACAATTCTATGCTTCCAACTTTGTGTGAACAGTTTGGGAAACACTCTTTTCTATTCCAACATGACTGTGCCCCAGTGCACAAAGATGGTCCGTAAAGACATGGTTGGATGAGGTGTGGAACAACTTGACTGGTCTGTACAAAGTCCTGACCTCAGCCCCATTGAACACCTCTGGTATATACTGGAACGGAGATTGTGAGCCAGGCCTTTTCATCCAACATGCATCTGCTAGGCCATGGAAACCTATTCCATGAAGTTCCTGCTGCATATTTTGTGCTGATATTAATACAAGTGGAAGTTTGAAAGTCTTCAACTATGGAATCAACAGAGCATTGTCGACTTATAAGCACCATGCGTCGTAGCACCCAGCTCTGTGACTTTACATGGTCTTCCACTTTTTGGCTGAGTTGCTGCTCTTCTTAAACGCTTCCACCACCCAATAATACCACTTACAGTTGACCGTGGAATATCTAGCAGTGGTGAAATTTCACAGACTTATTGCAAAGGTGGCATCCAATCACAGTACCACGTTTGAATTCACAGAGCTCTTCAGAATGACCCATTTACAAATGTTTGTAAATGCAGACTACATGGCTAGGTGCTTAATTTTATACCCCTGTGGCAATGCTTCTGATTTAAACACCTGAATTCAATAATTAAGAGGTGCGTCTCAGTACTTTTGTCCATATAGTGTATTTTGAGATTATAAATAAATCTCCGACGCAAACAGATGGGTACATTTCATAGCTAGGCTAGAGCTTGCCAGTCCCCATGCAGAGCTGCCAAGCAAACCGTGTTTACGTGAATTCTAAATTCAGTAAAACATTGACAAGCACATATACTTGGTTGTTTATTCAATGTACAGTAGGTGTAAACGCTGTGGGATGTATGGGAGAAGGGAAGTGGCATTCAATTAGCTGGGGGACCGAGACTTAATTGTTTTTCTTGTTACTTTCTCCTGCGAGTCCCTCTGCTGCACTCCTGAAATATCTTCTCTCTAACCGAGTAATATTCCAGCGGCAGAAAGCTATTTTTTTTTTTTCTTTCCGTGATGAGAAATATATTTTGATCATTACAGTAGAAGGATAGAAAGATAAAAGCTACGCGATTTATTTTATCAAATTATTTTTTTCTCTCCCAGATTATAAATATTATTTCTTATTGTAAAAAGGAAACATTTGCTTAAAGAAAGGGAAAAGGCAAATAAAAACCTTAGTATTTACAGTTATATTGCCAGAAGCAAATGAGCAGTTATTAACCCTTCCAAAGCTTAGCTACAATTTTATTTTATTCCGCAGAGCTTTACATTAATAGAATGGGGATAATTAACAAGTAATTGGAATAAATTATCAGAGACAATACGTGAAAAATGCCATGCTCAAACAAGCTAACAATCTATGAGATATCTATGTAAATCAATTATTAGTAGTAATTTTTTTATTAGTATTTTTTATTATTTTAAGACAATTTTGCAATAAAAATCTAATTTGCTAAAATTCTGAGTTTAATGGGTAATAGGAGTATCCTGCCCACTGTTTCTGGGGTTAGTATGCTGTCTTTGCTAATACCAGACACAAAGGTTGCACCAAAACTGATATGGCCATCAAAGAAAATAGAATTCTATCTGGCCGATTGACAGGCCAGGTAGGCGGCCCTGCACACAGAAGAAATAAAACCAAAATAATAAAAAAATTTAATATTTCCATTTGGGATTAAAAATATATATATATATATATATATATATATATATATATATATATATAAAAAGAGACTGCAGCTTAACCGCTTCAGTAGCTTATTTTGGTTTACGTGTTGAGTGCCCCATTATGTGAACATCTGTCAGCAGCGAGTACTTGCCAGAACACAGATCACACAACTTTGCCCAGAAGCTGTCAGTCTCACACAAAGAGCGAGCTCTCGACCAAGGATCATGCCAAAGGAACACTCTAAGCACCAAAACCACTACAGTGGACATTGTCGCTGCTGTCTGATAAATGTAGGCAATGCTTTTTTTGAGAAGCATTCTCACAATGTTTACATTTGTGAGAATGCATCTGGTGGCTATTAATGGCATTGCATCTGACTGCCCAAGCTTAGTGATTGATTCAATGCTATGGGTTTCTTATGGGTTTGTTCTGAATGCAATCGGGGCCCTCACAGCGCATGCGCATTATGTCACCGACATCAGGACCAGGGGTGGAGCCCTCCACGTTGGATTCAGGTAAATGACAAAAATGGACATAACCCTTTCTGTGCTGCTGTATTCCTAGCAGTACAGTTTCCCTTTAATTTAACCGTTTGTGAAACAGACTGGAGAAGTACACATTGCCTAGCTTGACCATCTACCACTGACATAGTTGGCAATCTCCATGCAATACCAATTTTTTATTGGTTTTAAAATGTTATTACATTTAATGAAACAATTATATTTTTAATGGTGAATACTGATTTTTGTTTGTTTTTATAGAACATTTCACTCTTTTACCTGTCTGAGCATGCATCTTAGCTCAGATTCTACTGTTATCTGACCAACCATAGCTTGCCTGCTGCTGCAGATTCCCACAGAGTAATTACAGCAGCGGGCAAGCTATGGTTGGTCAGATAACAGTAGAATAATAAAAACGCTGAAAACGCTGAAACCCAGAGACAAGCATTTTGGGCTTTGGTAATTGTGAGTTCAACTGCACTGGGTGAATTTTGAAAAAGGGGTGCATTTATTATGTATGGAGTTTTCTACACTATGTGGTATTTTTTTATTTTTAGGTCATAATAAGATGCTACAGATACATTAAATCAATATATGTTATGTAATATATGTGATCTGGAGAATAATTTTTAATTTATAGCAAAGCACGTTTTTGTGTGTCCTTAAATATACCTCTTGTAAAAAACAAAACAAAAAAAACTCTTCAGCGCCAGAGTTAGGGAAATCTTTTTTATTTTTGCCTATCTTAACATACCACTGGGTCCTTTATAGAATGGAATCTTCAAAATCGACAACCCGTGACTCCCATGGATTAGCACTGCTAGATTAAAGGTATTCCTCCAACTAATGCTGAGCTGCAGCACTGGATCCTCACACTGGATTTGAACTATTTCATGATAAAATAATTTGCGCTTTAAAGGACCACTATAGCTTAATGAAGTGGTCTGGGTGCCAGGTCCATCTAGGATTAACCCTGCAGCTGTTTCAGAGAAACTGCTATGTTTACTTTAGGGTTAATCCAGCCTCTAGTGGCTGTCTCATTGATTTTCACAGTGAGAAGACACCAGCGTCCATAGGAAAGCATTGAGAATGCTGTCCTATGAGACTGGCTGAATGTGCGTGCGGCTCTTGCCGTGCATGCAGCCGATGACAGGGAAAGGAGGAGGAGAGTCTCCAGCACAGATGGAGCCCGGTGCTGGAGAAAGGTAAGTGTTTAACCCCTTCCTCTCCATCCAGCCCAGCGGGAGTGGGAGCACCCTCAGGGCACTATAGTGCCAGGAAAACGAGTATGTTTTCCTGGCACTGTAGTGTTTCTTTAAGCATCTCTTGAAAAACGGTGTACCTGGTTTTTAACATGCTGCAAAGCAGTCCAAATTTAGAACTACCATATTTTAATTCAAAACCACAAAAACATTATAGTATTTGTTATGACAGGAATACCTACTGCTTTCACTCACAATCACAGAATTCAATAATGACAAAGCACAAGTGTTGGGTTTCCCAGCCTGCACGCTGACTCGCCAATCAACACCAGGGCTGGAAGAAGAGATTGCTGTGGTGGGCACAACCAGGAATCCAAGACCCCAGCTGTACCACCAGGGATCATAGCCTTCCTGCCTGCAAACACAGGGCACCACCGCACACACATGTACACTATAAAAGGGGGAGGCAAAAGGTTACACACCATGCTCTTTATTATTATTGCCATTTATATAATAGCGCCAACAGATTCCGTAGCGCTGTACAATATTATGAGAGGGGGGATTAAACTATAAATAGGACAATTACAAGAAAACTTACAGGAACGATAGGTGGAAGACGACCCTGCTCAAACGAGCTTACAGTCTATAGTTAGAGGACTGGGCATAGTGTCTAGTCAAATTTTCTAACTGAAATTATTTTTTTAATGTAAGGACAAGTTGATTGTCATGAAGGACAGGTAGATTAGACTACTACTTTAGTTTTTTTTTTTTTACATTTCCAAACCTTGCACCTTAAGCAGAGCCATGTAAACACGTACCAAAAAACAATATGTCAATAAGCCACAAGGTGGTGCTACACAGTCAGGTTTATTTATATAGCGACAGTCTCCTCCCTTGTATACTATGCACTGTCACTGTACAATGCATTATGTACTTGCATTTAAACCACTGTTTTATTGGTAAATGCCTAAATCAAAAAACAAAAAGAAAATGCCAACCTAATATAAAGTGCTAAATAAATAAATATGCAATCATTTTGTATCCACGGCTATTCAAAGTGGATGGATGCCTTTTTCCGATTTCTGGAAAAGAGCAATTATTGAAATGGAAATTTACTATTTTCAACATTAATTAAATCACAATCAAATCTAACTTTAGATATGCAGGTGATGCACAGCAGTATTTTTATATCTGCATAACTTTGTGGGGAGTTTTCATATGTTTAGTCTGACCACAAAATTTTGGAAACTAGCTAATCATTGACAGAGACTTAAAGGGACACTCCAGACCACTAAAGCACTTTACACACATTCTTTATGGGTGAACAGTGTGCCCTCTTTTTCAATAGAAATTGGCACTTTTATAAAGTAACCTTGGCTGTCAAACAGGTCCTGTTACTTCCTGGTTTGGGCAACAATTGCTCAGGCCACCGGCCTCGCAAAGACTTCTCATTGAGCTGTATTTGGAAGTCTCTGATTGGACAGCACAGAAAGTCTGGGCAAGGTTAGAAGGGGATGGCTTGTAAAGGCAGCAGGTTTTGCAGGCTTTGTTTTAGAAATACTTCCAACAAAAAAAAGTAATGTAAGAGTAATGCATGCACATCTGCTAAAAGGTGATTTTCTTTTTCTTTTATTTGGGCAGTGTCTCTTTAAACTTTCTAACTATAATAAACTTATTACATCAAGGTCTATGTTGAAAGAAGCAGTCCAGCAGATGGCACTTTTTTTTTACTAGCATTGGGTAACGTACTTGAATGTACCGTTTAGATCTAGCCAAATGAAGTATGTAACAGCAAGAAATAAGCATATGTTAGCAAATACAGCTCAAGTACCTCCGTTTTCACCAAGGTTTCCAATCCTTTAAAAAAAAAAAAAAAATCACTGAAAACTCACTTCATCAGGAAATCAAAACAATTGAACCAACAGCTTTCACAAACCCCCTTCCCGATTCCTCTCCTGCAACTGTCTAAAAAAACAAAACAAATCCTCAAACACTCTAGTGGATACTATCATAGCAACCCTTACCTTTTGTGTCACTATACCCCACTACCTCTAGCATGTAAGCTCATCGCTATGGAATTTGCTGGCGCTATATAAATAATAAAATAACAATAATAATTGAGTAGGGCCCTGAAACCCTCTGTTTCTGTGCGTCCATCTTGTCTGGTTTCAACTACATGTGTCAGTCCAACCATTGTATAGCGTTGCAAAACTTGTTGGCACTTTATAAATAATAATAACTGTTTTTAGCAGTCACCTGTTTTTAACAATCCCATAAATAGCATGAGTAAAACACACAGGCACTTTGTTAAAATGGCAATATTTTTCTTTACTTCCTGATTTCTAATATGTTTATTATAACAGTTGTGTTATAATTTCCAGGAATGCTAGAATTTCAAAGAGCAATTGCACTGCTTGTTCCTAAACACAGGACAGACATTCAGACTTGAACAGGTAAGTAGAAAAAGTCAGGGCACCTCTTAGACGGCCTGCAAATGGGTATCTCCACTACTGTGGAAAAGTGCCAGAAGAATTTTGGAGCCATTGAAATGGACTGTAGTGATTATGGTGATTAGAGTGCCTCTTTAAAGCAGTTACATGGTTTTGTTTTTCCTTTTTCTGATGACCTTTATATCTTAATGATTTCACTCCCCCTTTGCCACTATTTATATTTATTATGTTTTCCTCCTTGTGCCGGATCAAAATACCTGAGTGCAAGAATCTTGTTGTCCTCTGTACATGTCTGCACTGTGCCCTTCTACGGGGTTGATTTTACTCACTGATTGTGGGCAAAATTGGCAACTGAAACGTTAACATTGCCTAAGCATTGTCAAGTTTTGTCAACTTCAGTTCATATATAAGAAAACGTAGTCCCTATTTTATAAAAAAATAGAACTCACAAGAAAAAAAATATAAAAGGATTCAGACCCAGGAAACTATATAGAAAAAGATTACATACAGTTTATTTTTGGTGAGTGAGACGATTTAGCTAGAGTTTTATTTAAAAAAACAAAGCAGTATTAGTAAAGCCTTTTAAGGGTCTTACAAGTTCTCCTTACAGAGAACATTCCATAGTATCTTTTACCCACCCCTATACTGCGTTTTAAAAATGACCTAGATAATATATGTCATCCAAACTATAATCCCCAACTGCATGCAATGGGTGAATTGTATACCATGAGTTGATTTAAATCAAAGCAGACCTGGGGTTTACAGAAGGGCAAGCTATTTTCTGAGCTCTTTACCTTTTTGCATCAGCTTTCTCATATTCTCTTTTTTTTGTTTTAATGCATTTTCTTATTGCCTTCCTATGTTAAAAGTGTAATTCAGACGTGGACACGGTTTCAAGAGTGGTATCAGCTACAAAGCATTGACAAGGCACAATAAATAGTCTTTGGTTGTTGTATCTCTCCTGCAGTGGGAATCTGCTGCCATTTTGGATTTGGACTGTCACTATGGGTGGGATCAGTCTGGTATGCAAATGCTGTAATCAGGGGTAGGCAACCTTCGGCACTTCAGATGTTGTGGACTACAATTTCCCTGATGCTTTGCCAGCATTATGGCTGCAAGAGCATTTTTTGAGATGTAGTCCATAACATCTGTACTACAATTAGTATCGATTCTCTCTGTAATGAAGAAAGCAAAACGGAATCCTGAGTGGGGATTACCAAAGGGTAAGCTACCGAGTTGTCTAAGCATTTACCCATTCTCACAGTTCTGATATTCTCTATTTGTGCTTAATCAACGGAGGCTAATACTCATCAGCTGTTGGATTTTTATTAATTTGCAGCTTTCATACATATGCTTTAGACAATTGAGCAGAAATAGAATAATGTTCTACAATTGTACAGCTTTCTGAACTGTATGAAAGCTTCCTGTTACAAGGAATGGGGCTAAAGCACAATAAAAAAAAATAATGTCCTAAAAACACACAAACCCCCCCCCCAAAACCCTAAAACATAAATCAAATTGTCAATTTGCAAACAGTGCCTTTAAAAGACTAGTTTGATGAAAACCAAAAAAAAAAAAAGTATTCATGTATATATTTTATTCATATATTTTACTATGCCATTGGCACAATACACAAACTGAATTTAGCTACTTGATATTTTAAAAATAAATGGAGGGCTTCACGCCACTGAAAAAGCAATAAAATGCTCAAATATTCCGTAATCATAGACATGCCCCTTAAAGTTTTATTTTAGGACATTTGTGTTTTGCTTTTTACATTGATAGATGAAAATTAACTGATCTAGCCCACCTTATTCTATGGTATATCATTACAAAAGCATAATGTATTGTCCTGGCTAAAAAAAAAAAAATCAAAAAATAAATAAATCTTGCAATCACACCCAGCGAATTCTCCATCTACACAAACCATAAAAAAAAAAAAATATATATATATATATATATATATATATATACACACACACACCGGTATATAAAAATAAAAGACTTCAGAGCTTTCCTTAAAGTCATTTTGATATACATTTTTTTTAATGAAAATTAACCTTTTAAGATACTATTTTCATACAGTTTCCGCTCTAATTCACAAAGTCTATGATCAACAGCTGTTCAGGAAACTTCAAGAGGAACAGCGCTGGTGTCGGGAGTGAGGTTTATTAACTTGTTGCTTGCTTGGGCCAGTTCTGATATGGAGACCCGACCTCTCTGTCTGATAAACTGAGCTACAGCAGCCATTTCCTCTACAGTGATGTAGATGAACTTCCCTCTGTCGTCAATTACACCTGTTGAACATTTAACATTTAGAAATTAGTTTTTTTTTGTTGAGTCCTGTGCAATATGCAGATATAAGACACACGTAGCTAGGGGAATTACACGTTTATTCTTAGAATAACAAATAGTGAGGAGAGCACTGATCTCAAGAGCTTAAAGTTCAAAGCAAAGAAAGGCCACATTTCCCTTTCCAGAAACTGTGGACCCAGGAAAGATACAGTATATTGACATGTTACTTTTCTACGACTAGTAAAGGAGATGGTATTATGGTGAGGCGGAAGATTAAATAGGAATGGGGTGGCTCTGCCCTAGAGAAGCCCTGTTAAGTGGTTGATTTTGGGAAAAGAGAAGGAATCGATGATATGAGAAGATAATAAAGTTCAGGGGCATTCTTCGAGAGCTTTGTAAAAGAGAACCATGTATGCATCACAGGCTATTATTTATACTGGGAATACGAATATGCTTACCAGTTATTGATCCGTCTGCCAGTAAATCGTGTATTCTGCTGATGGCATCCTGTGGAGAAATATACCATTTGATAGTAAACATAAAATAACTTAATATCACCAAACACATGATGACATCACATTTTGCTGAAGAAAGTTAAGCATTATTCTTTTCAAATGGCTTGTGAAGATTTTCTTATGATTTGTTGTGTGATCTACATAATGTGCTAGTAATATTTTTATCAACTCTATATGTCCAGCAAAACACGTTGGATCTTATTTTATATAATATGAAGAGAAAACACTTTCTTTAATCAATACACAATACATATTCTAGCACAAAGCATTGGCCATCTATTATATTGCTCCCTAAAGGAACATTTTGATTTTTTTTTTTTTTTTTTAAATATCAGGTTACTTGAAAACTCAGCCCAGGAGTTTTTGGTTTTTTTTGATGTGATTAGAATTGGTCTGCAGAACAAACAAGTCATGAAGGACGGGTAGCAGCAAGGGATTTACAGATGGTTTTACAGTTCTGCAATGATGGTGACAAAATCTGGAATGTTATGAAGACTAATATGACAAGTCTGAGAGTTCCACCAGTCTACTGGTGGACTATGTAGGCTAATTTACTGACGTAGATGTTATACAAACAAAACAGGAAAAACATGTGTGAAAAGTGCTTCTTGTTGGCTTTGTCATGTAATCTCTCACATTCATCATGGACCTACAATGGTGGAGGTCTGTTATTCAACTTTTATTTTATACCTGTGCTCTAAGGCCAAAATGAGCTCCCAATTCTTCTAATATTACCACCTTTGAATTCTAAAAAGAGAAGAAAGACATGGTGGGGTCATCAGCTAGGGAAAAAAGCATCAAACAATTTAAACGACAATGGGAGAGATACAATGAGGGAGACAGACGTGTCATTATAACAAATTTCTGCTTAGCTCTTTGAAATCAATAAGGATATTACTTAGAGTGAAATGGTACAGGAATCTAAGGATAATGTGATAAAATTATTCTTGAAAGGCATTGAATAGGTTTGTAGACTGCACTTCCAACAATGGTCTGTTTAAAGACTTGAAGGGCATCATAGGAAATGTACAAAACAAAAATATCACCAGCACCCAACTTTGAAACCAACATTAAACTCTAAAGCATACATAATGGCAGTCACCCAATATTTAGAAGTGATATTTAGTCTTATAATTTTTTTCTGATTCATGTATTTATGACTTGATTGGCAACTGCCTATAACTTTTAGTTGATGAATAGATCCCTTAATAAGTCACTAAAAAAAGTTTGACACTTTAGAAAAGCATAAAGAATGTCAATTCAAAATAATGGTCTACTTTTAAGTGTAAATGGAACCTTGTGTTATGTTAAAACGTGTCAAAGTTTGATGTTACAACAAAAATTGTAGAGGTTTTACACTTAAAACCTAAGATACGGCAATGGCAAATGCATTTTTTTTGTACTACTGAAAAAAAGCAGCATTTGTTATTTAAATTACATTCAGGTTTTTGTTTTTAGAATATATGGCATCTACCCTTCCTATAAAAAAAATAATCTCAATAAATTGTTCTGATGATAGCAGCAGTCAAGCTGGAGAACTGACCACTATGGACGGAAAATGCTTTAGTAGGACCAGTCCATGGAATTCAGTTCTCAGAGCTTGGATCTGCCATAAGGCTCGTCTTCATCATCTTGGCGTAGGAAGAAACAAAAAAAAATAATAATAAAATAAAATACTAAATCTAATGAAATGTTTGAAGAAAAGAATAAAAATAGATTTAAAAATGAATGAGTAACCAAGGGGAATGAGCATCTTATTGGAGTTTATATTAAACAAAGTAACTATAGTAATGCTTGTTTCTTGTATATATAGCTCTGTGAGAGAGCTTTCTAATAAAAGCAAGTAATGTAGCTCCTGTAAACTAAAACTAGCAAAATACAGAAAAACAACATTAAAATATAGTGCAGCATTACACAATGACATCTCTATTCATGTCGGTAGAGAGGCAATATTTTAAACCAGACTTCAATATTTTAAACCAGACTTTGGTGTCGCTCATTACCTTTTATAAATTTGCCTTTGTTGGCCTAACCAAATAAGCACTTTTACTTAAAGTGTCACATTCATTTTTGCTTTTGCATAATACGATTTAGGATTACAGCTCAAACTAGACCAGAGTTAAGTGACACGAAACAGTAAAACTCTTAAAATTGTATTCTTTTTACTATTGACCAGTTATTTATATATTATATATTTACAATTTATGTAGTGTCTTTTTAGTGTAACTAACTAGTATAACTCAAATATTTTATAATTTAATATTTAAAAATGACAGAAAAGCCTTGTGAGACGTGACAGGCCTTCCGTACATTACATTGGCAAAACGTTTACAAACAATGCTGGTAACAACATGAATATTAATTCACTTCATTGGAATAACTGATTTGTCCTACATTTAATGGAAGCGTGTGTTGTCCAAACGTTACCCAAACAAGTTGCAATCTGTACGACCACTGGTTACATTCTAGACAGCCATTCATACTAGGTGGAGATGACATAATGCCACTAATATTGAATATATGCTATACCTGCACAGGAGCAAAAAAAAAAAAAAAAAAAAAGGGATCTAAAGTTATTCTAGGTAATATCTATTTATTGACATCATGCCTGGAGCATCATGAGATGATAATGCTACTTAGTACATAGAAGTCATGCACTGTTTTTGGGATGTTTTTTACTTCCCACTTCGGTAGTGTTTCATGGGGTGAGAAATTGGCAGTTTCACTTTAAAAAGAGGGTTACTGCGTGTGTCTGTAGAATTTGTGAAAGTGTCTACATACATTTGCATAAATTGTAGTTACCTTGATGTAGTTAATAAACTCTGTAAGGAAGCTGCGGGACTGTAAGGGAAACAGAAATCAGATTAGAGCAGAGAAAATATACTAGAATTCAATCCACCTCAATGCACACAAATACCTAGGTCAATGAAAGAGTATGGTAGTGAGATATTCATTGCATATATAATGTGTATAGACAGATCAAGGTACCCCTGGCAATCCAAATATTGTATTGCACATTTCCCATGATGCTCTGCCACCAATTCACAACGCATGTACAAATTGTGTGGGGCTGAGTTTTAATAATAATAATTACACACACACACAGATATTACAGGAAAGGTGTGAAAAGCACTGTATTCCAATGCCACTTCTATAAGTAAAGTACGAATCCACTATCGAGGCAGGCTCACGTTCACCTTTTACTTCCCCCCACCCCTAACAGCCGGCGAGTTTCATTTTCACTTGACAAGAAGTCCCACATTTAATTCCTTCAAGTAACTATAGACATTGAGAATCTGCAAGATAATGATTTGATTTTGGGACGCAAATGAAAAATGTGATGACATACAATTGTGAAGTTCGTATTTGCTTCTTTTGTTTGTTAGCTTTCTTAAGCCACTTCTCAGGTTCACTATGTACAAAAATGAATATAGGTCAATATAACACTATGTGCAAAAGCATATCTGAAGTTGCAAATAAAAAGTAAAAAAATAAATAAACAATCAGTTTCTTTGGTTAATTTGTTATTCATTCCATTAAATTCAAGTGGTAAAATAATCTGCTTGTCGTTACGCAAAATTAATTCATATTAGAAAGTTTGGGGACCCTGCTAAAATCTTAACATTGGCAGGATTATTCACTTAACTGCAAAATTTCCAAAATTAAATCGGAATTAAAAACCTGAGGCCTGAAAATGTAATTTCTGGCAAAGTTCTCCAACTACGATATAGTCACAACTGGCTATTTTATGCTTCCGTTTTGAACTTCAGATTTAATTTGGAAAAATCTGGAGTTTAGAGCCTCTCCCTATGAGAGACTGGCTGTAAATAGTGTGTGTGTGTGTGGTGTGTGCTGCCTCTTTGTTGTGTGTGTTGGTTGTATGTAGTGTGCCTGGTCAGTACTGATTGACATTAGTGGAAGTTATAGTCCTGGGTGGGAGCTACATCATCTTAAAAGGTGCCACTGAGGAAAGCAACTCTCAGTAATCTTTGGCAGATTGAGATTAGGGCCCATGGACTTCACAGAGGGGGTCTGGGTATAACTACCGTTTCCTTAAGAGAAATAACAGCGTTAAACAGCATGTCAATATCTGTCAAATATGGGAGCCAAGATCTGCCCATTGAAAGTCACACACAAACATAGTACTACACAGCTCAGCTCAGTAGGGAAGGAGTTAACTTGAGTTAACTTGAGCTGAGATGTGGCTTCACAGGTCATTATTTCTGATGTGGTCAGACCTGTCGCGGGGCTGGGAGTGCAGCAAAGAATCCTTGTGGTTTGGATTGTGTGCAAAACACTACCAAGGCACAAACAGTGAAGGTCAAAGTAAAGAAAAAAACAAAATATAACTTGTGTGCAGTTTCATGTCTAATAAAATCGTTTGAGGGGGAGAGGGAGAGTTTCACAATCTGCCAAGAACTGTATTTTATTCATGGTTCACTAGCAACCTAGAAATGTCCTGTGTGAGTCACCCAACAGATAAAGAAAACTGTAAGATTGTATTAATGATCAAAACTGGATTTAAAATAAAAATAAATTTAAAAATATTATATATTGAAGGTTTTTTTGTATTGTCTGCCAAAGATATTTAACAAGGTTCTGCTGATCAGACAATATATTTCTCCTATACGTTGTTAAAGATGTTTAAAGAAAATTGTTACTTAGATACCAAAAGTCTCATAAAATGTGCAATATGAAAGAAAATAACAATTTTCGGCATACAGATCTACATGCTGGTGCTTTTGTTTATAATTATTGTGTTAAAATGATTAAAAGATTCAGAATTTAAAGATAAAAGCATAGCAAATTTCTTGACAGTGAGGCTGTCATGTATCAGTAAAAAGATTTGAATTTTATAATGAAATCTGTGTCAGGCAAGTATTATAAATGATTTGTGCCAGAGAAACTATCTGGAAATATATAAACTAAAATATTCCTTAAGTAAGCTGTTGGTACTGCTCTGTACAGCCGTGTTTGGCAGAAGATGAAAATACAATTTGCCCATTCCCTTAATCACTGAGAATGGGTACCTACTATGCCAGTTTCGTTGGTCTCCACGGGTTGGTATGGGCACATTATATTTATACATTCCTACACAACTGCTCACAATAAATGGTTTACAGTAGCAACAAATGTATCAGTGCAATGGAGACCCCATGGTGACACCAAAAAAATTCTAAAATGGGTGTGTTGCAGAATATTTGTTTAGTATATCATTTGGGCCAGTGACCTAAATTTGCTGAGGACGAGGTCAAGCAAATATGCTATATATTAGTGGTAGAAAGAGGATCCAGGCACTCCAAGTGTCTTCAAATGTATTTATTAGGATAAGTGAGACACTGCAATGTTTCGACCCCTGAGATGTTTGCGGTGTCTCACATGTCCTAATAAATCAATTTGAAGATACTTTGAGTGCCTGGATCCTCTTTCTACCACTGATATCTACTCCCTGGGGCTGGTGCTGGCCCTTGGTCCAGTTTAACACACGGATCTTCACATGATTGGAGTGCGGTTCATTTTTTTTCTCTTTTTGCATGCAATGCCATTTACACTGAGTCACGGTCTAAAAGAGTTAAGAATCGCTGTCTTCAGTAATGTAGTAATGGAATGTATAGATTAATGATTGTGTGTCTTACTCAGGATAGCTCTTGTTCAATCAGCTCAAAAAAGATATATATTTTCTGGCATAAATTCTCCTCCTTTCACCTCCAGGTTACACACTTTTAGTGTAGCTACCAACTTACTATAGAACATGTCACACTGTTATACTATGTTAACTTGCCTTGGACATGTCATAGTTTCCCTTATGTCGCCCATGCCTAGTACATTCTAGTAGCCATCTAGATCTAGAAGAGACGACCTAATAACTATAAACTAAGACAAGAAGAGACTTGGAACACAAAAAATAATTAGAGTAGAACTTAAATGACCACTATAGTGCCAGGAAAACATACTCATTTTCCTGGCACTATAGTGCACTGAGGGTGCCCTCACCCTCAGGGATTCCCCCCCGGAGGCAGTGGTGTGGAAGATACATTGGAGTAATTGCGTTGAATGAGTTGAACGACAATGGATGAAGAGTGTGGAAAGAGGCGAGAGGGACACTGGGTGATTAGTGTGGATAGAGTGGAGAGATACACTGTTAGAATAATGATAAACACTGTAAACAATATAGATTTCAGTTCTGGCACTATATTACTGTGTGATTAGTATTCACTTCAAAGAAAGCTGAGGCACTAAAACTGCAAGCAACAACAAATTATCTCCAATATATACAATGCCAAAAAATGTAATAAATCAAAGTTGCTCCACTATAAATGTCAGCAACCCTAAACTAGGCCATAGAGTATATCAGGGGTAGGCAGCCTTTGCCACTCATAATTGTGTGGCTTTTACAGCCATTATGTTGGCCAAGCATCATGGGAGATGTGGTCCACAACATTTGTAGTGCCAGAGGTTGCCTACCCCTGCAGCATATATAGCCTAAAAGTCAACATTTCTTTTTACGTTTATTGTTTTTGGCTGCTTCCCTGGTATATATGGAGGAATGTTTATTATTATTTATATAGTTCCAACGTATTCCGCAGTGCTTTACAATTGGAGAAACAAGCT